CTCCTGTGCTCAATGAAAAGTGCATTTTTTGTCAAAAAGATACAAAGGAACACCCCATACTCGTTCACTGTTCAGTCTGATAATAATATGAAGAAAACCATAATGGATTTAAGTGCATTTGATTGCAGGCTGCATATTCGAATCAACTGTATGCTGTGCTTGATAGCAGGAGACGTAAAATATCACAGCATATATGGTTGTTAAAAGCTAAAACGGCTCAAAAGCAGCATAGAGGGCCCGTCGAACAAAGTAATTTACCATTCATGGAAATTTGCAAACAGCTAAAAGTATCAGCGTCCTTTGAGCTACGTAAGTCATTATTAATTTCTTATTTACATTAGAATTAAGGGCATTGCCTAGATAGATAGTGAAAATTCCTTTTTTATTTCCAGGTTTTGCGTCTTTCCGATGTCTTTCTGTGTCCTTCCGATCCAGATGATCAACATTTAGAGGATTTCATGACGTTTTTACCGACGTATTCCTGTTTTACCAGGGAAAAAACTGCACGGCACCTTCTTTTGATACCCGCGAAATTGTCAGCAAAAATTACGGCAGATCTGGCAGCTGGTGACGAGTGACGACCTCTCCGGGTTGACTCTGCCAGAGTATCGTTCCGAAGATGACCTCCTAACAGTTGTCGATGCAGCACTGAAGATTCGAGAAGACCTCAACTCAACGCCTGGCCACTCTGGACGTCTCGCAACCTGAGGCTGCAGCCGTAGCGCCTAAGTGACCTCATTTGTTTTTAAGTGTTGCTTGGTGAAGAAAGAGCCCTTTATGATATGGATTCTGAACTGGACGATTATAGTGAAGAAGACGACGAAGATGACTATTTGGAGGTTTCAGATAGTGCAATAAACAGGAACGTTGAGTTGTCTATTGGCCAAGACACCGTGTACGCTGTAAGCAGAGGAAAAAAGTTGTAGATGGAAGTTGCAACAGTGCCCGTTTTGATGACCCTTGATCCTGTTCCAAAAGAGTGCATTGATTTCAAAACCTGTAATTGTCAAACGCAATGCGCAAACAGAATGTGCGGATGCAAAAGGTCCCATTTGCCGTGTACAAAATTGTGTTACTGCAAAGGTCAATGTCTGAACTCTCGCATCTTGAGTGATGAGTTAACTCAGGAGCAGGAATAAGTTTAAATTTTGGAAAGTTAGTTTAACAAGTGTATCAAGTGAAAAAATAGCGTTTTTGTTTATTATGTAACCTTATTTCGTAATGAAAATGCCGCGTTAGGATTTCCATAGAATTACTCTATAATCATGGTCTTTTTACTGCCATATTTTGGGCGAAAAATTGGCCCTAAAACCATAAGATGCCTTTTTTTAAAGCATTGCATTGAATTCCTTACCATTGAAAACCTCAAGATCGACGTTTAAATTACGATTTTATTTAAAGAGACAAGGTATAGATGCGCTCAAAGGTAATCTGGACGTCATCTTGGATTCCGGACTTCCGGTTTAAATCACGACGTGGAAACATGCATTTTCGGATTCAGCGAGGTTTAATTAGTCTAAAAAAGCTGTTTCCCCAATTGTTATATGAAATACTTCTGACATTCTATATTTCCAAATATGTGGCTAGTCTATAACTATAATGTAACTACATACTTTCTGCGAGTATCTTTTACAGGTCTGTCGGTAGGTACTCTTTGTCCTTCCGAAGTATGTCCTTGTTTCCACATTAATTTTGTTCTTTGAAGTTATTGTCTAACTACAATAGCTATAAGTATGACAAACACAAATAAACAATTGTTCAGATATGCACGTCTTCTGGAAATTTGAGCAACTCATTGCACGCCAAAGGTTATTATCTACCGAGTGACCGAATAAGAATGACACGCGGCTATTCCCCAGAGAATAATAACATAATACACAGTGTCCAAGATAAGGATTTCCGAAACCAGTCAAATTAGAGAAAAGATGCGCAACTAATGAGCCGGTACCAGTACCATGCTTTAAGAAAACCAGAAAATTTCATTACTTCCGAGAATATGCCAGAAAACTAAACAAAAAGAAGTTTGTCCGATTGTTGTTCTTGCATGATTAGGGCATTACCAACCGTTGTTTTCCATTGGTTCAATATGCGCTGGCACTTTTGTTTCAGTATTCATTTTAATTTTTCTTTCTACGCTTCCTTTCCATTTTTCCATTTTTCTTTGCAGCTACCTTCCCTCGTAGTCTCCTATTTATTTTTTCTGTGCGTTTTTCGCTTCAATTACGATATCATCTTTCCTTCATTTTCAGTTACCCATTACTTTCTTTTCGTTCCTCCATTCGTTCTGGTTTCTACTTCAATTTCAATTAACGCCTTATATTTCTTCCTTCTTTTTTTGCGCCCCTCTTCTGTTATCCTTAATTCTTCTTCTCTACTTCTTTGTACCCTTGCGTTGTCTTTGTCTCCGTTTTTGCTTCGAATGATGTGTTCAGTCTTACGTGTTACTTTTCGCTTTCATATTCGCTTCTCTTTTGGTTCCCATTCGTTACTCGTTTAGGTTTCCCTTTTGACACTATTTTGTTTGCTTCTCTTTTGACTTTCGTTCGGTTTAATATTTCGTTGATTTCCATTTTTCTTCTAGTTCCCTCTTCTCACTTCTATTTCTTCATTTTAGGTTTCGTTTTGTTTCCCGCGTTCAGTTCTGCTCATTCCGTGTTTGGCTTTTCATTGTTCCTGCTTTCGTTCTCCTGTTTTCGGTGTTCGATATGTTCTTCTCTGTTTTTGTCCACTGTTTTTTTTACTCTTTTTTTTATTTCCTATCTCGTCGCCGTTTCGCTTCCGCTTTTGCTTAGTTTTCGTTTCGTTATCTCGTTTCCTTTTTCGTACTCTCTTTTTATCCTTTTTTGTTTCCCTGTCTAACTCTCTTCTGTGTTAGTTTCTCCTTTCGTTCCCTTTCCGTTCCACGTTGTGATTCTGTTTTCGTTTTCAGTTCCGTTCTCTCTGGAATGCGTTTTGTTCCTTCTGAACTAATCCTTCTATTCTCTTTCAAACTCCCCTAGTATTCCCAGATTCTGCAGGGGTTTGTACCCTCTATGCGCTATTTCAACCCTCTTAGTACTATTCAGTACGTCTTGTAGGCTCTGTGGGTCTTTTACCTTCTAGTCCCCCTACGTCTACCAAGATGTTCTTCGAACCTTTAAGTTCATTTTATCCAATCTCCGAATTTGTTCGAAGTCAAGTTTTTCAAGCGCTATTTCAAATGCTTTCAGCTCCACGTGGAGCTCTTCTATGTTTATAAAAGCTTCAGGTAACTAGAGATCTTCCACAATTTCGGATCCTTTCTTCGCGCTTAAACTTTTCCGGTTTTTTAATCTTTCTACTTCCACCTTTCACATTTAATCCACTTTTTCCAATTCTTTCACTTCTCCCAATATTTTCAATTCCTTGAAATATTCGGCCTCTCCGGTTCATTCGAGCTATTGCGGTTTCTTCATTTGTTTTTTAAATATTTCATTACTCCAAAGCCTTTAAACTCCTAAAATTCTCCAATTACGGGTTCTTTAAATCTTTTTAATTCGTTCTTCGAGTGACTCGACTCCGTTTCAGCTTCTTACCAGTTTTTAAAATTCCATTACTTCATTGTATACGTTTCTGTAATTTCTGTACATTTTTCGGTATTTCAAGCTCTTCGAATTCGTTCATCCTTTTCAGTTTTTTCAATTCTTCGCCGATACACAGATCTTCGCTCTTCGGTTCTCCGAGTTATTTCTGTCTCTAATTGTTTCAATTTTTCCGATTCTTCGATTTCCTAATATAAGGTTGACAGAAATCTTATAGATTTCTCGCGATTCCGAATCCTAAAAGTTCTCCCAATTCTTTGAGTTCGCCAAACTCTGCAAGTTGGTCCAGTATTCCCAATTTTTTCGTTGCAACTAATATTTCCGAAGTAGTCCAGTTATCTAGTTGCGTTCTGTGTCTTCGTGGACTATTGCTTTCTTCTTTTCTTGAATCTTTATATTCGTCTAGGTCATCAGTTTCTTGGACTTCTTCCAATACGTCCAATTCTTCGAAATCCTCGTCATATTCACATTTTTTCCTTCCCATTTTTCCTCATCAGGTTCTTTAAATTCCTGTTGTTCGCCTAGCTTCAACTTTTCCCACTTCCACGAGTTCCACAAGATTTTCAAGCTCTTGTGGCTCTTCCTTCTTTTCGTGTTCTTTCCATTTTTCATTTGCTACTTTGTGCTTCTTTTGATCACATCCAATTCTAATTACTTCCCCATGATTTGAGTTTTCCCACTTTTTTGGTTTTTTCGACATTCTCATGTTGTGCAGGTCTTCAATCCTTTCCAACCTCTTCATATTGTATTCTTATAATTATTTTGCCGTTTTCAATTTTTGGAGATAACCTTGTACTAACTTCTTGGTTAAGCACTCCCAACTTCCCGAGTTTTTCTAAATCTTTTCCTTCCGTCAATTCGCAGAATTTCTCAAATTTTGCGCCTTCTTCCAATTGTTCTAAATCCAAGATTTTCAACTCCTGTTCAGCTTTTTTAATTCTTCGAAATCTACAAGTTCTTTGAATCCCTGGAGTTCTTTTCAGTTCTCCCATTTTTCAGGTTTGTTTTCTCTTTCAAATCCTCCAGATATTTGATTAATCTGTGCAACCCCTTTGAACTTCTCAGGTCTAAGAAATGCCTCAATTTCATTGAGCTTCTCAGGTCATCGAGCTCAAGCTCAAACGTTCTTATTTAATATTTCGTGCACTTTTAGTGGAATCCAGTGGAATTGTTCAACGCCAAAAGAGGTTAGTACTATTGGAAGCCTGAAAAAGTGCAAAAAATCATCAGCGCGTAGCCATGGTTACATAAGTCCGTCCAAGAATGCAAAAATTTTCCGAAAACGCTTTTTTTCCACAAGTACGTCTTTAATTAATAACAACTTTCAAACGTACGCCTGTAGTTATTGTTCTAATTGCACTAAAACGTAATTACCCAAACAATCCTCTCTAATTATCATTAATCGTTGACCGAACTAGGAAGTTGAATTGCGCGTAGTAAATGGAGCTGGAGGCGGTCGTAACGTTGTATCGAGATATAAATAGGCAAAGTTCCAATGAAAAATTGTCATTCATCGGTGTTCAATCAACCAACAATGTTCGGAAAAGTAAGAACTAACTGCAGTGAAGATCAGGTAGTGATAACTTTTGTTTCAGTTCGTAGTTCTCTTCGCCGCCGTTGCAGCCGCAAAGGCCGGACTCTTGGAAGGCGGTCTCCGATACGCAGCGCCGGCTCCCATCGGTTTGGCTGCCCCAGCTCCAATCGCTTACGCCGCCCCAACTCCAATCGCTTACGCCGCCCCAGCACCCGTCGCTCTCCCAGCACCTGCTCTTCCAGCAATCTCCAGGATTGAACACCTAGGACCCGCCGTGGTATCATCGTACAAGACCGACGTCGCCGTCGCTCCCCAACAGAGGACCTACGAAATCCAACCGGCCACCGTCCACCACGCCCCGGTACTCGCCGCCCCAGCACCCGTCTACACCGCTGCCACTCCTTTGATCGCCACAGCTCCTCTCATCCGCGGCGACGGATACTTTGGACACGGATTGGGATATTCCGGCGCTCACTTCGGCGGATCGCTTGGCTATGCTACCGGTTACGCCGGCGCTCACTTCGGTGGATCGCTTGGCTATGCTACCGGTTACGCCGGCGGATACCTCGGCAGAATCGCCTCCCCGTACGGATTCTCCAAGTACGGTCACTACTAAATAACCGATCACTTGCAGTGGTTACATTCTGAGAATGTCTTTAATAAATGAATCTTTATTGTCAGTTCTGTATTACTATACCCAACTCCCTGTTTGAAACGCAGGATTCAAAAGATCAAAAGAATTGGAATTCGGTAAATAATCGGACTAGTGTTAAAAAAAAGACCGAAAGCCGACTATTGAAAACCATAGATCGCTGATTGACGAGGGGAGAGTGAGGAGAAAAATTGGGAAGTATGAGACTGAGAACCAAGAATGGTTAACTGACTCAACTAACCTGAACACCGTGTTAGAGTTCCACATTTGTGACCTTTTTTCGAAAAGGGAAAGGTGCTCTTCAGCGAAAATCAAAACTCCCACGCCATCCTCCCTCCGTCCCTTAGAGCGTCCTTTGTAGGGTGAAAATAAATACAAAATAAAATAAATAAATAAAATGTTTGTGGTGGAATTTAGGATCCCAAAAATAAGAGTGTTAGAGTCCTCCCTGGATCGTTCCAAATTCCCTCGCTGCATTTCGGACTGATCCCGATGATATGGTCATGAAAATGTGGAAACCATATCGTCTGCAATATCATCTTTATATCTAAATGATCCTTTAATTGGTGTTGGTTAGGTGAGGATCATTAATGGTAATCTTTTGATAACGTTATCGCTCAGTGAAAATGTATAAAAGACGTGCAAGCGTTTCAGGAACAAAAATGTTTAGTTTAAAATGCCTAAAGTAGTGTTCTTGAGGGTAAGTGGTGGTGAATATGCAGCGCTGTGCAACCTTCTCTTTTACAGCTTATCTCGTTACTATACAGGCTCATTGTATGGATCTGTTATAACGTGGAGCAGTGACGTAAATGGAAAATTATGGAAGACAATCCACAAGAAGGGTGACATTTAATTATGTTTATAACATATAACGTTAAACTATGTACTGTTTTAACCCGTTGAATGAATTCTTGGTATTTTCTTTCTCGTAGGCGGGTTCAGATTTTTCTTGTTATTGTCATCATTAGCATAATCCCCCATATTCCAACAAAGGCCAAGGTATGTCTCCCCAAATGAATCTTAGTCATGATTAGTTATGATGTAAAGAATTTATCTGGATGATTGGAGTCAAGAAAATGCGTATCATTTTTACGCAGCTGGTGCTAAATGAGCTTGTATTTTTAGGTCGAGGTGGCTGGCCTAAGGATAGGTTTACTTCCGTCTCGTATTGCATTTCTCATTTTGCACGTGAAGGGGGCTGAGTGTACGGTTTCTTAAATTGCGTGAGTTTTGGAAAACAACTGGGATTGGTTGAAAAAAAAACATTGACCAATGAAAGTTATAGTATGGTTTCATTCTCTAAAATACTGAGTGGAAATTAGTTTTTAGAGAGGCTTAAAGGGGATTCTAGATTTGGCTTTGAGAGCGGACAGGTTCAGTTTTGAAAAATTTACTGAAGGAGATCCTTAAAGATCTTCAAGATTTTGTAAGGGTACAATGTAGAAAAGTCTTTTTGATTGTTGTCATGAGTCTTAAGTTTAATTTAATTTAAGTACCACAATTCCTTTGTGGATCATCTTCACAGTTATGATGTAAATAATTCTCCTGAAAATGCTTATTAAGACTGTAACGGGCTAGTTGCATTTACAGGGGTGGAAAGTCCCTCTTGCATAAGATGGAATTGAATCTCTACGGCACTGACAGAAATACCAATATAACAATTAATTTTTAATTTACCCAAGGCTAGCTCAGTAATTAAAATGTTATATAATTACACCCCTTACTTTGCTAAAATTTGACTTATCTCCTTCTAAGGTCTGAAGTCCCAAGGCAAATGTTCTGGTTCAAAGGAATCTAATAAATACGCTTAGTTAATTAAATATATTGTTTTGGATTTGAATGAAATGCAATACGGAATCTTTTTAAACAAATGGTTCTCGTAGGTCGATTTCTTCAGAAATATCAAAGTTACTTTAAGCAAAATCAGTATGCAAATTCTAAAAAAACCAACCAGTAGTTTATACAGAACACAACATTTAAACAACTTACAGTAACCAGCGTGGACGGGATTCAGGTTACAATTGATTCTCTCTCCCTACACGGAACAATACAGCGTTATTTAAAAATTTTGGAAATAGAACGCTTTAATAGTATAGTGGACTCTTTGTACCACGTTACGTTAACTTCGTGGTGAATTCCAATCAAAGATGCCCATACATACCAGTGAACTCCAACAGAGCAGCTCCAATTTCGTGAAATGAATACGCGACATTGTTGTTGTGCACTGGAATAAAACGCCAAATTTCGCTGTGTTGATATTAAATTCTGCCAAATGTTTACGGTGTGATTTTACGGGGGTCGCCCCACTTTTTGGTTCCTACGAATGCGTAAAAGGGCCAAAAACGACTTCATAACTTTTAATCGACAATTGTCGGCCCGATCGACAATTTCACTACCATGAAGGGTAGAATGTAATGCAAAAAATTCCAGGTCGCTAGAACAATTCTCATGAAGTAGTTAAAAACTACCGAAGTGGGTCCGGACGGACTGACGGACGAAACGCAAACAATAGTACATTTTTTAGTTCTTAAAAAATGCGCTAAAATGAATGAGAGGCAAATATTAAAATAAACAGAAAATAGGAAAGGGCAAAGGGAAAGAAAGCTGTAAACGAGGCACCAGAGGGGTGGTGACTACCCGATGTTAAAGAGGCGTGAACTGGGCATGCAAAGAGATGTGGTACGAGTACGAAGAATACGAAACGGGAAGAAATGTGAGGGAGCGAGGGTGGTTTAAAGTAGGAATGACGGAATTGAGGATCGTGGAGAGTACGAATAAAGGAGAAGGCAGTAACTACAGGCTGGTGGCTTAAAGAGGTAAAAGTGAAGAGTGAAGGTGACAGAAGGAAGGTGTAAAAGAACCCCGAAGGGGGTTGAAAGACCTACAAACAGCTTACGATAGAGAAGTGAAGGAGGGAGGTTTGGGGCATGCGTGAGTTGGTGGAAAGAAATCTAGACAAAAGATTACTGTGAAAAGGACATGAAAAAATGTATAGAAGGTGTGAGGCGTAGAGAATAGTGTAATAAGTGGTCGCTTTGCCGATGTAAAAATTTGGTATTGATTTTGTTAAAATATGAAAATTTTCACATGTACCGCTTCATAGTAAACTTGAACGAAAGTAAGTCTGGCGATAGTAAGAAACGCATTTGGGAAAGCGAGCGCGGTTGCCACGATCTTTTCGGGCCTAAAAGTTGCGTTCGTTCCATTTGCACCGAAATGCGAGTTTTCTATTGATTGTTAGGGCACACCAATCGAGTTCATTGCGTTCAGAAAAGAAGGCCCGTTTCTCTTTCAATGTCGTGCCTTTATATCTCCCATGAGATTTTGTATTTTTGATAAAAAATGTTTATGAGAGCAAGTGTTTAAGGGCATTTAAAAGCTTTGATCAACTGTTGAATTTCTACTCCTATTCTTTTAGAGAGAATCTTTAAGGGCCTTCAAGCGTTTTCCATGTACTTTCAAGAGCCCTCTAAAGACATTTGGCTCCAGAAATCTGCAATAAACCTGAATGGGTTTTTTTTAATTTTCACAGTGCAAAGTATTGGTCCATGAGAGTCTTCAGGACTATACTAACCTTTCAGATGTCTTATTTTTCTTTATGCTCTAAGAGGTGATCGCTTAGCCTGTTACAAAAATGTGGTGTTGAATTTGTATTTTGACAACGAGCTCCTAGCGAGTTTATAATTTTGCGATGTCTGTCCGTCCGTCCGTCCGTTAGCACGATAACTCATAAACGAATGGACAGATTCCAATGAAATTTGCAGGTGGATTCTTCATCAAATTTGTAGATCGGAGTTCCTGAATTGGCAATGTAGCCCAAAAAATAAAGTAGGCCCTTTTGACATCTCCGTTAGTTATAAACCGAATTGCATGAAATTCAATATGCGCATAGCTTAAGCCATATAAAATACATTCCAAAAGTTAAGCCTAATCGATCAGCATTCACAGTAACCTTTGCGCATCTCGACCATTTACAGACCGAATTGCAAACTTTCTTATTTATGAAGTTATTTAAATGAAATTTGATACATAGCCACTTGGAATAAATGCAAATTTAACGCCAGTTCCAAAATTTTGTTTTGCGCATGCGCAGTGCCAACTTTCTTATTTATGGAGGGATTTAAATGAAATTTGACACATGGCCACTTGGAATAAAACCAAATTTAACTCCAGTTTCAAAATTTCGTTTTGCGCATTCGCAGTTTCAACTTTCTTATTTATGGAGGGATTTAAATGAAATTTGACACATGGCCACTTGGAATAAAAGCAAATTTAATATCTGTTTCAAAATTTGGTTTTGCGCAGGCGCAGTGCCAACTTTCTTATTTATAGAGGCATTCAAATGAAATGTGATACATAGCCACTTGGAATAAAAGCAAATGTAGCGCCATTTTCCAAATTTGGTTTTGTGTAGGATGTGCAACGCCAACATTCTTATTTATGGAAGCAATTAAATGAAATTTCATACATATACACTTTAAATAAAAGCAAAACTAACATCAGGTTTAAAATTTGGTTTTGCACATGCTACAGCCATACCCAGGAGCTCATTTGCTATATTTGTTTAATTTATTTCAAGTAAAAATGAAAGGCTTTTTGTTTAATTTCAAGAGCGACAACATACAAATACTGGTGTGTGAAAAAAAATTGATTCACGGACGACATTTTAGCGGCGTTGCGAGAAATATCTTCATGTATTTGTGAAGATCTTCTGCGGTTGTAACCCGAGAACCGCAACGTGAGCGAAATCAAGCCGGATAGTAGTAAAGAATTAGCAGTTTATCTTCGGGTAAAAACATATTAAGTAGCGGGCACTCGGCACTCCTAAATTTCGCGACGAAGAAAAACTTTCGATTCGAAGGAATGCCTTTTATTTACGACTGTTAAAATATAGGCGAAGGAACATTTTCGAGTCGAAGACCCGCTTTTCAAATAAAAAATGGAACGAGAAGTTTTTTTCGGAT